AATGTGCCTATAATATTCATCTATGAACAAACTGGCAATATGAGGATTATTGATTATACCCAATAAAACAATTCTATATACCAACAAGTTGTACATAATAAAACCTACACAATGACTTATACTATGCAATGTACTTCAGGGTCCTCGTTCAGCCCATCTGGTGTCATGGTGCCTAATTTAAATATCCAGAAGGTCTCCCTTTCTCATCTTTCATTCAGAGTTAGGATTCATCAATACATTCCATTGCCAAAACGTCCATTTTCTTGAAATCCTTGTTATGGTGTTGAAGTGATGAGGGCACTATGTTGGTCGTCACCTTCTGTAATGAGTAGGCGGTGCTCGCCGACCCGTTTACGTAGCGTTGTTTAGTGTGAGCAAAATATAACAATTTACGAGGACAAAGAAGGACATAAATAACATATTCCGAGGAACAAGTAATACATTGTTTAATAACAAATGTGTTTCCTTTGATGTATGAAAACCTAGAGCATCCATCAATCATGCACATTTTATTTCTGAAGTGATGACACACTAAATAGTTTATACATATCCTGTTGTTTACCATTTTGCTGTGAAATAAATATTTCCTAAAAGCGGAACTTCCCCTTTAGGGTTAAGTTCCTCTTTAAGAAACCAAAATATAGCAAATAAGAGAAGTTCATTGGTGGGATATATATACAGTAATATACTAAAAGGGTGCAGCGCTGGTAAAAATTACAAATATAATGTATATATGCTAAATTCATATATAGCATATATACATTATATTTGTGATTTTTACCAGCGCTGCACCCTTTTAGTATATTACTGTTTACCTGAAGGTCTTATATGGTGCCTTTGGTGCATGCTCGCTATTCCCTGTGTTGATTGAGCGCTCACTTATTTTCAACTTCCGGGATATACAGTCAGGTCCATAAATATTGGGACATCGACACAATTCTAACATTTTTGGCTCTATACACCACCACAATGGATTTGAAATGAAACAAACAAGATGTGCTTTAACTGCAGACTGTCAGCTTTAATTTGAGGGTATTTACATCCAAATCAGGTGAACGGTGTAGGAATTACAACAGTTTGCATATGTGCCTCCCACTTATTAAGGAACCAAAAAAGTAATGGGACAGAATAATAATCATAAATCAAACTTTCACTTTTTAATACTTGGTTGCAAATCCTTTGCAGTCAATTACAGCCTGAAGTCTGGAATGCATAGACATCACCAGATGCTGGGTTTCATCCCTGGTGATGCTCTGCCAGGCCTCTACTGCAAGTGTCTTCAGTTCCTGCTTGTTCTTGGGGCATTTTCCCTTCAGTTTTGTCTTCAGCAAGTGAAATGCATGCTCAATCGGATTCAGGTCAGGTGATTGACTTGGCCATTGCATAACATTCCACTTTTTTCCCTTAAAAAACTCTTTGGTTCTTTTGCAGTCTGCTTTGGGTCATTGTCCATCTGCACTGTGAAGCGGCGTCCAATGCGTTCTGAAGCATTTGGCTGAATATGAGCAGATAATATTGCCCGAAACACTTCAGAATTCATCCTGCTGCTTTTGTCAGCAGTCACATCATCAATAAATACAAGAGAACCAGTTCCATTGGCAGCCGTACATGCCCACGCCATGACACTACCACCACTATGCTTCACTGATGAGGTGGTATGCTTAGGATCATGAGCAGTTCCTTTCCTTCTCCATACTCTTCTCTTCCCATCACTCTGGTACAAGTTGATCTTGGTCTCATCTGTCCATAGGATGATGTTCCAGAACTTTGAAGGCTTTTTTAGATGTCGTTTGGCAAACTCTAATCTGGCCTTCCTGTTTTTGAGGCTCACCAATGATTTACATCTTGTGGTGAACCCTCTGTATTCACTCTGGTGAAGTCTTCTCTTGATTGTTGACTTTGACACACATACACCTACCTCCTGGAGAGTGTTCTTGATCTGACCAACTGTTGTGAAGGGTGTTTTCTTCACCAGGGAAAGAATTCTTCGGTCATCCACCACAGTTGTTTTCCGTGGTCTTCCGGTCTTTTGGTGTTGCTGAGCTCACCGGTGCATTCCTTCTTTTTAAGAATGTTCCAAACAGTTGTTTTGGCCACGCCTAATGTTTTTGCTATCTCTCTGAGGGGTTTGTTTTGTTTTTTCAGCCTAATGATGGCTTGCTTCAGTGATAGTGACAGCTCTTTGGATCTCATCTTGAGAGTTGACAGCAACAGATTCCAAATGCAAATAGCACGCTTGAAATGTACTCTGGACCTTTTATCTGCTCATTGTAATTGGGATAATGAGGAAAATAACACACACCTGGCCATGGAACGGCTGAGAAACCAATTGTCCCATTACTTTTGGTCCCTTAAAAAGTGGGAGGCACATATGCAAACTGTTGTAATTCCTACACCGTTCACCTGATTTGGATGTAAATACCCTCAAATTAAAGCTGACAGTCTGCAGTTAAATCACATTTTGTTCGTTTCATTTCAAATCCATTGTGGTGGTGTGTATAGAGCCAAAAATGTTAGAATTGTGTCGATGTCCCAATATTTTTAGGACCTGACTGTATATACACTTTACATTTTGTACGGTCGCTTGCAATTTGATGGGTTTGATGAGCGAGTCCAGTAAGCAACAGGACCAGGTCGACCCCCCCACCCCCCTCAAAATATATGAACATTGTGTCAGCAAAAATCCCCTCCCTCCCTTCCAAAAAAACCCCCCCCCCCAACACAAAAATCCACCCTCCCACATGGAAGAAAAATACATTTGAAACATATTTAAAAAAAATATTCTTCCCAAATATATTGCCATATATTTCAAATGCTACAATTTTGCCCGTATTCAATATATTTCAAAATATATTTATATATATATATATATATTACTGCGTGTTGAAATATGTTCTTATTACAAAATATATGAAAAATATTTTTTAAAATACATTTCAAATATACTGTATGTCTTTCAAAATACAGATCTACATTTTTGGAATGCATTTACATATTTAACAAATATATGTAAAAATATATGTTAAAATGACTTTTTTATATGTTAAAAAAAAACTCAAAAATATATTTAAAAAATATATATTTTTTAAAAATATATATTTTTTAAATATATTCTTCAGATTTTTTTAACATATAAAAATATATATATATTGATTGAAATATATTTTGAAATATACTGAATGTGGCCAAAATTGTAGATTTACAAATATAAGTCAATATATTTGGGGAGAATGTTTTTAAAATATATTTCAAATATATTTTTTTCCCATATGGGCTCCTATTACAATTGCCAGGGCTTTTTTTCTCAGAGGATAGGTGCAGGAACTCCCTCCGCCCCCTACCCACCTTCGATCGCTGTTCCTTTAGTTCTACTCTCAAGCCACCTACTAGTACCACCCCTTTTAGAGAATACAGAACCAAGTATCATTTTATAGTGGTAAATAAAGTGTGTTAATGATAATAGATCCCCTGGAGCAAGCAACAATAGAACCCCCAGAAACAATAGATACCCCCGCGCAACAAAATACCTCTTCAGCAACAACAGATCCACCCCATAAAAAAAACGACCACCACCAGCAACAATAGATATACCAGCAGCCAACATCAATAGACCCTCCAGCAGCCAATGACAATAGACCCCTTCCTCAAAGGTGGATCCCTCTAAGCAACAATTGACCCCCTAGCAACTATTGATCCTCAAACACACCTCATTACCCCTTGTCATTACATACAACCAGTGCTGGAGGTGCCAGACCTGCGTTCCCTGCATTCCTGCTAAAAAAAACCCTGCTTCTAACACAATCCCCCAAATCTCCACTGCGCCCAGGACAGCCGCCCCTTCTGCCCACCCCTTGTCCCGACACTGAGTCCAGCTCTGAGTCCCTCGTAGGAAGTTGCAGCAATGGAAACTATAGGAGAAATGTCTCCCTAGTCTCTGACAGACAGCCCTTCCATCTTCCACTGCTCACCCAAAACTGAACATTTCCTTTAATACACAAAATGAAGATTCCAAATACAAAGGTGGATATCATTATGTAGGTAATTGATGCTTTATTTATTACTAGATTTTGTGTTTTGATCGGAGTTCCCCTTTAAGGGTATATGACTGTCTGCTTATGTTTTGCTGCTGAGTATATAGTTGTTATAAAGGTCTTTAATAAGATCATTGACTGTACGGAACTCCTACACAGCATGGGACACAAGCCACATAGCATGAATCAGTGCATTGCAGGGGAACTGGCCGGTCCTATGTTACTGCAGGAGGTAAAGAGAGGCTGTAAATTTCAGGCTTTTCGTCAGCAAGATTACAAGTCATATCTGCTTCCCAGGCTCAGCTATGGGTGTGCTCCCCATTTCCCACTTCTTCATCATAAACCAGATTGTGACCAGTTAAGTGATTAATCAGCAACTGCTGGTGAGACCCAAAACTTGGCATAAACAAGTAAAGTGAAAAAGTTGCCCATTTCTGTTTTTGATTTTTGCTTTTACTGTTTGGAAGAAAAAAATTATAGATCTTATGTATGAAAAGTGTTTTAAGTAAGCATCTAGGCATTGCACACAATGCAGCTTGAATCCCCAATGAACCCCATTATCCCTTACCACAAACTGTCATAATTAGGAACAAGTATTAAGCTGAGAGGATATATTAATGTAGGTAAGGCTGCAGCTCCAAATTAAGCAAAGAAGCTGTAGAGGAGATAAATGTGTGCTTCATTTGTAGACTAAGGAGCCCTGCTGTAATCTATTAGATGTTAGTTTAAGCCTCAGCCACTAGAGGGCACTGCACAGCTCAGAGATTGCTTTTACAGGGCATTGGCTGTGCAGAACTGCAAAGCAGGCCGGAGCTAATTGGCAAATTAGTCAAATAGAAACATTCCAAATTATTTCCAGTTTCCCCATATATATTCACGCAGCTTGTCCAATTAGCTGAAAAACATACATTAAAATTGTCTGGATTGCCTACATACTTCAGGAATCCAGACAAATGTGATTTAAAGTTACTAAACCCACAACAGTACAATCAGTCTGTATATGCAGTAAAGCATGCTTGTTATACTCCCTATGGAATCTAAGGGGTTAATCCTCCGCATTGAGTAAAAAGGCTGTATGATCCTGACTTCTATGATCCTCCCCTTCTTCCAGTGCCCCTCTCTTATCTCCTGATAAGACATATGGTGTGGAGTCACTCTGCACATGCTTAGTTTGGTGTGTATTGCTAGAGAGTTTTTTTTTCTTTTCTTGGGATAGTGTATATGATCAGCACAGGGCCAATCAGCACTGTCCAGACAGTGGTCAGGGGTCCTGTATCCTCCTAGAGCAGAAAGAAAACTCCTACAAGCTTTTACGAGTGCTCTGCTGGACACAAGACTGTCACAAGTCACAAGACTGATCTAACTGCTGATGAGAAAAGGTATTTAGCAGTTTATATTTACTAAAATAATTGATTTTATATGTTGTGTGTTACTGCAGGAGACCAGATAGAGTGAATGCATGGTCCTGGGTTTAGTAACACTTGAACAATTGTATGATTCACTGTGGATTAAAATCTGCACAATTATGTTTACGCACAAAAATAAAAAAATTCCCTGAGTTGACTGTGCAAAAGTGTTAGGCAGTTATGAAGAAATGCTGTAAAGAAAGAATGCTTTCAAAATATATATATATTTTAATTAGTTTTTTTATCAATTTCAAAATGCAAAGCGAACGAACAAAAGAAAAATCTAAATCGAATCAATATATGGTGTGACTACCCTTCGGCTTCAAACCAGCATCAATTCTTACACTTGAACACTTTGTACCCACGCACAAATGTAGGGATTTAGTAGGAATAGAGACAGGTGTATGATTAACCGATTATACCAAATAGGCGCTAATGATCATCAATTTCATATGTAGGTTGAAACACAGTCATTAACTGCAACAGAAAGAGCAGTGTAGGAGGCTTAAAACTGGGTGAGGAACAGCCAAACTCTGCCACTAAGGTGAAGTTGTGCAAGACATGTCACAGACCGAGCACAGCAACAAGGTACAAGGTAGTTATACTGCATCAACAAGGTCCCTCACAGTCAAAGGTTTCAAAGCAGATTGGTAGTTCAAGATTGGAGTTCAAGATGTACTGTTCAACCTTTTTTGAAGAAGAACAAAGTTGAGGGCTGTAGGCACAATGGTCAGCCAAGGAAACTTAACCCAGCAAATGAGACACATCATGCTTTCTTCCCGTCAACATCAGAAGATGTCCAGCATTGCCACCAGCATAGAACTGGCAGAAACCAGTAGGACCCAGGTACATCCATCTACTGTCCAGAGAATTCTTGCCAGAAGTGGTCTTCTGAAAGAATTGCAGCCAAAAAGCCATATCTTCAACATGGAAACAAGGCTAAGCAACTCAACTATGCATGAAAACATAGGAACAGGGGTGCAGACAAATGGCAGCAGGTGCTCTGAACTGATTAAGCAAATTTTTAAATATTTGGTTGTAGAAGGGGGCAATTCCTTCGCCGAAGGACTGGAGAGCGAAGCAATAATGAGTGTCTCCAGCAAACAGTGAAGCTTGGAGGAGGTTCCTTCAGAGAGTGACCACAGACCAAGCCCAGGGGGTTGAGGAGCAGCTTCAGACATTGAGAAACAGTTTGAATTCCCTTCTTTCTGATCGGGCTAATGCGAAACTTGCTCGGGTGCGAAGGTCCCTTTACAAAAATGGCAATAAACCCAGTAGACTCCTAGCTAGCGCCCTTAGATCCACCAAGAGAGTGACCACAGACCACAATGATAGCCAAGAACAACCATTGCAACGTCCAGAAAAACAAAGTTTGGCATACGTCCCTGAACGCACACTGCCTGCACTCAAGGCCATGGACCACAGACCAAGCCCTGTGGGTTGAGGAGCAGCTTCAGACATTGAGAGATAGTTTGAATTCCCTTCTTTCTGATGGCTAAGGCGAAACTTGCTCGGGTGTGAAGGTCCTTTTATGAATATGGCAATAAACCCAGTAGACTCCTAGCTAGCGCCCTTAGATCCACCAGAGCCAAAACATATCTTTTGTTATAATTTGTTATGCCATTTCTTCAAAATAAAGAAATAAAAAAAAAAAAAAAAAGAGTGACCACAGACCACAATGATAGCTACGAACAACCATTGCAACAGCCAGAAAAACAAAGTTTGGCACACGTCCCTGAACGCACACTGTCTGGACTCAAGGCCATGGACCTGCCCTTGCACATCTGTCAAGCTCAGCTGTGTGGGTGAGTCCAGGCAGTCACTGTCTGCATTCACATCCCTAGGCTGCCTGCATACAACAGCGGGCGCATAAACAAAACACATCCTTTGCACTGTATGGGCCTTAGTGCCTGTCATGTTTCACATGACTGTCATGCTGACTGTCATATGCCTTTAAGAGTTTTCTATATTTAGTTTCTGCTCCTCCCTTTCTTTTAGTTTAGCTAATGTTGCATAGATAGCCCCCCCCCTTCCAGAGATGCATTGCAGTAAGCCTCATGGCATGGAGCAGGAAACAGCATGTGTTCTTTTGACCTATGGAGTTTCATTGTTGTAAGATTCTCTCAGTTTATGGAATAAACTTCACAAGATCTACAAGATATCATTCTCTCATTGAGTCACTGACTGTGGTATCCATCAGAGGTTGAGGTTATCGCTATCTCATCACAACTGTAAGTTACAGAGATCACACTATTAATGCTTAGATTGGAGCCAACAGAACAGTGCCTATGTAAATGAGGCCTAAAGCAAACAACTTCTGCTGTGCTGTGACTTTAGAAAACCCATACAGGTGCATCCTGTATTAAATTATTTGTACAATGAACAATATTATGTTAATAGGTACAAAGAAAGGATATAAACTGGCAGTTTAAAAAATAAAATTGATCCTAAACCATTATTGTTTCCCTTTCAGGACTAGTTCACGCCAGCCCATGCGTTATACACTGGTAAACCCCCGCACCTACTAGTGTGTGTTGTTAAGGTTCCTTGAGATGCCATTATGTATGGTGTGAATGAGGCACATTTGCTATTTGCCCTTGTGTTGAATTTGTGTTGATCTGTGCAGAATAACACAGCTCACTGGACAAGGTTTAAATTAAGCCTAATTGTCCTAAAACAAAATGTGAACTCTCCATCTTGCACTACACGCAGCTTAACAGCAGGAGGCAGTACATAAGAAGGTCAGGCATTCCAACCGAAACCCTACAAGCCAAAATACTTTCCATGTGTGCAAGATGTGATGAATTTTGACAAATATTTGTAAATCATTGTTTAGGCCATCTCACAGCTTACACAACACTCCCTCTTCACAAATACTAACAAGAGAACATAAGGAAATCATTTAACAGGCAATTTCACTGGCAGCCCGGCCACAGCTTTGGAGCAGAAGGGATCTGGGCTCAGGTAGCGTCACTGCGGCCATGTTATTGAAGCCAACCGCTATATATCCTGGATTTATCGGTCTGTGGTTATGTTTTGGGTGAATACTTCGAATAGGTGGAGGCTGAGTTTGTGTTTATTACAATCAGCCCAGCACAAACTTTCCATAAACTCCACTTGACATTTTGGTGCTCAGATCGCTTGAAAAGCTCAAAGTTCAAATTTGATTTGTGAAACAATCTCGGGAGATGTGTTTTGTTGGGCTGAATGCCAGCTGCAGCCCAGTAAAACCGTCTTCGCCACAGGCCGTGAAATCAAGGCATTCTCAATGAAAATAAATTGAATTTCCCCAGTCTTCTACTTTCCATTAGGTTTTACCGTTGCAAAGCACGGCATTTCAGCTCTGAAACCTCAAGATTGTTTGAAAACCGCATTTTAATAATGCATATACAAGCTGAACATTTCCCAGAGCCCCCAGGCAACAAAGATCCCCGGCAGTAGAGGCTGACAGTAATACAGAAGGGGGATTATAGCGACCTTTGAATTTTATTATACGAAGATGAAAGGCGACTCACCTAACTCGATGTCTCTTATGCCCATGTAGCTCTCTAGAAGGTCATCCACTTTCTTAATCGCCTTTTCTTCGAAAGCAGTAGGCTACGAAGGAACAAGTAGAGAAATGATATTTAAAATATATATGGGCACAAACAACATATATAACAAGAGTTAGAAGAGTGGGTTACTAGGAATCAAGGAATCACTGCAGGAGCATTTCAATTTTTTATTTATTTTTCCTAAAATATATAGACAGCGGAGCTAGGCTTCTGACCAGACAGTTAAGCAACACAGCTTGGTCACCACCCTGCCCCAGTCAGGACAGTGAAGAAGGAGCTAGGAAATAATAAGCTTGGTTCTTTACTTCACTTTACTTCAGCCATTCTCAACCACTGTTCTGTGGAACCCAATGGTTCTTTCAGAGGTTGATAGGGGTTTCGTGAGCAATAAGCAACTTCTTCCTCTCAGATAAGCTAACACTGACACCAATGGTCTAATTAGCTATCTGTTGAGGAAGCAATCCTCCCACTGACCACCAATGAAGGAGCATTCAGCCCACTGACCATCAATGAAGGAGCATTCTTCCACTAACCACCAATGAAGGAGCATTCTTTTTCATTGACCAGTGAAGGAGCATTCTTCCCACTGACCACCAATGAAGGAGCATTCTTCCCACTGATCACCAATGAAGGAGCATTCATCCCACTGACCATCAATGAAGGAGCAATCTTCCACTAACCACCAATGAAGGAACATTCTTTTCACTGACCACCAATGAAGGAACATTCTTCCCACTGACCACCAATGAAGGAGCATTCTTTCCACTGACCACCAATGAAGGAGCATTCTTCCCACTGACCACCAATGAAGGAGCATTTTTTCCACTGACCACCAATGAAGGAGCATTCTTTCCACTGCCCACCTATGAAGGAGCATTCTTTCCATTGACCACCAATGAAGGAGCATTCTTCCACTAACCACCAATGAAGGAGCATTCTTTTTCATTGACCAGTGAAGGAGCATTCTTCCCACTGACCACCAATGAAGGAGCATTCTTCCCACTGATCACCAATGAAGGAGCATTCATCCCACTGACCATCAATGAAGGAGCATTCTTCCACTAACCACCAATGAAGGAACATTCTTTTCACTGACCACCAATGTAAGGAGGATTCTTTCCACTGACCACCAATGAAGGAGCATTCTTCCCACTGACCACCAATGAAGGAGCATTTTTTCCACAGACCACCAATGAAGGAGCATTCTTCCACTAACCACCAATGAAGGAGCATTCTTTCCATTGACCACCAATGAAGGAGCATTCTTCCACTAACCACCAATGAAGCAGCATTCTTTCCACTGACCACCAGTGTTTTACGGTCCTTCACTGATTATGAGTGTAATGGAGAGCTTCTCAAATGACCATCAGTGCAAGGATATACTACAATTTTCACTGTCTGCATTTGTTTTTATTATTTGTTTCATTTTATTATTACTGAAAAATATTTTGAGCAGCCCTGGGTTTCAATAAGGCCAAGTACACCACATTCCTAACCTTTTTTTAGTCTTATATGTACAACTTACTGTTCATAGTAATGTGTCAGAGAGTTGTAGATATATTAGACTTTAGCAGGGGTTTCCTAACACCTGAATGTTACTTCAAAGGTTCCTCAATGGTAAAACTGTGAAGGAATGCTACTCTATTCAATCTGTCTCTCCTCCTATCAGCAAGTTCCTTCTCATTACATGTACAAAGCAACAGATTCACTTAACTGCTGCACTCTTCAGCTGGCTATGGCCTAATATTGTCCCCCCTGCCACTATGTTTCACCATGGAGCGAAGAGATTTGGCACATTATTCCCAATGTACACATTCCCGAAAGTGGCTGTAAATGTAAATGGGTGCTCCAGCAACCACTAGCTGGAAACCAAAGACGATCAAACTGAGGAGTTTGTCACTAGCACACCAAGGATCTCCAGAACAGGTCCAAAGCTTTATTAACCACTTCCTGTCCGGACACTTTTACCCCCTTCCTGTCCAGGGCAATTTTCAGCTTTCAGCGCTATCACACTTTGAATGACAATTGCGCGGTCATGCAACACTGTACCCATATTAATTTTTTACCATTTTTTTGAGACAGATAAAGCTTTATTTTGGTGGTATTTATTCACCGCTGTGTAAATGACACTGTACTACTTGTGGGGGGTGATGAAGATTTTTTTTTTTTTTTTTTTACAGTGATTGCTTTTACACCCATATACGATGTAAAAGCAATCATTTCTCTTTCTCTCTGTCTGCTTTCTTGCAGCCATTGAGAACTACTGAGTGAGCTGTGATTGGTCACAGCTTGTCACATGGTACAAGGCTGTTGTGAATAGCCTTGTACCATGTGACCTCTGTGATCATTCACAGATTTCACACGTAGTAAGCAATGATGTCACAAGTGACATCTTGCTTACTACTTTGCATGTGATCACTGATAAGCCAATCAGCGATCACTTGATCGGGACCTCGTACAGAGGCCCCGTCCGACGATCGGTGTTTCACTGTGTCCAGTCCCAGGGAGCGCGCACAGCTAGAAATGGCGGGCGCCGTTTATGAACGGCAACACGCCCCTGGAGTGCTACCGTCCTGCCGTTTATAAACAGCAGGCGGACGGCAAGTGGTTAAAGAATAAAGTTTACCTTTCAGAAAAAAATAATAAATGCACATTTGTTTTGCAGGTAAAAAAATGTGCATTTATTATATTTGTCTGCAGGAGCCTGGAAAGCATTGCACCAGCAATCAGCAGATCGCTAGTGCAATGCCGGTCTTCTGCACACCTGTCAGTATATCTGCTTGCCCTATGGGATGTACAGCCAAGCAGATAGACTGACAGGAAGCTTCACTGAACTACCAGGGAGCTCCACAGCACCGTGGTAGTTAATTGAAAACTGGGATGTACAAGCAAGCAGATATACTGACAGAAAGAATGAATTAACTGTCACAGCGCCATGGTAGTTCATTGAGGACTACAAGCTGACAGCCGCTAAGGCTGTCGGGACTTCTAGTCTCTCATTCACAGATAACTGTGAATGAGTGATGCGGCTGTGTGGGCGGAGCCCCACTTGGCCGCATTTTTTTTTTTTATTTAACAGCTAGTGAGGAGGGAGAAGACCTCCCGCTAGCTGTCAAAGCAGGGAGCAGGGGCTGCTTTGATTACAACACGTTACATGTTACACCCTGAATATGGGTGTAACATGTAACATGTTGCAAAAGGTGAACTTATCCTTTAAGCAATCACATCATAGTTACAAAATCGACTTTCAGAACCTGATGGTCACATGCCTGATAAAGGGGTCCTGCGAAGCTCTGAAAAGTCACTTTTGTAGGTTTTGTAATGGATATGATCACTTACTAAAGCTTTGGACCTGTTCTGAAGATCAGTGTGCTGGTGACATACTTCTAGCTTGGTAACCTCCAAGTGCAAGAGCTGATGACTCTCTACACATCCCTACATGATGGTGCTGCATGCCAATCAGCAAGCACCGATGGCACTGTGATGTAGAAGAATAGGGAGTCCCATCAAATGCTCCCCATGCCCAGAAATACCATGCATTTCTCAAACCAAGGTGGTGGGACAGCAAAGTGAACTTGAGTATGTGGCAAGCAGGGAGAGGGTTGTAGTTACATTACATATCAAGTAGTAGTTAGTAACATTCAGTTGAACTTGTTCTGTTCTCATGTTCCCTCACCAGTTTTAGGGTATATACCCTAAAATGATGGCCAATATGTCTGTGAAGGTCTTAATTTATCCGCACCTTGATGAATGAGAACCATCACAAACATATTGGCAATTATTTTGAGGTGCGATGCGGTAACATTCTGCAGATACACTTAAGGAGCTCTGCGATACACTTTTTGCCGGCTTGGGTTATTTTATTTTCATCCCCACTTCTTCTTTACTTTTATCCTCATCCCAGAAGAAAAAAGAGGTTATGAGAAGAAAAGAAAAGTTGGTGAAAATAAGAAGAAAAACCAAGCCCGGGAAAAAGGTATCTGCAGAGCTCCCTAATTTTTTGCAGAGCTCCCCTAAGAAAAAGCGGGGGCCGCAATACACTTTTGCCCGGGTTGGGAAATTTTCCTTCTTCTCATTTTCTTCTTCTTCTACCCTTTTTTTCTTCTCATCCTTCTTCTTTTTCTATCCTTCTCTTTTTCATCCCTTTTTTCTTCTTCCACTTCTCCTTCTTTCCCCCCCCTTTTCCCTTTTTTCATCCTTCCTTTTTCATCCTTTTTTCTTCTTCTCATCCTTCTCCTTCTTCTATCCTTCTTCTTTTTCTCCTTCTTCTCATCCTTCTTTCTTCCTTCTTCTCATCCTTCTCCTTTTTTCTCATTTCCTTCTCCCTTTTCATCCTTTCCTTCTTTCCATCCCCTTCTCTTTCTCCTTCTTTCATCCTTCTCCCTTTCCCTTTTCTCATCCTTCTCCTTTCCTTTTTTCTCATCCCTTTTCCCTTTTTTTTCTTTCCTTCTCCTTCTTCTTTTAACCTTCCTTTTCTCATCCTTTCCTTTTTCTCATCCTTCTTTATCCTTTTTTCCCTTTTTTCCATCCTTCTCCTTTTTTCTACCTTCTCCCTTTTTCTCATCCTTTTCTATCCTTCTCCTTCTTCTCATCCTTCTATTTCTTCTCCTTTTCTCTCCCTTTTCCTTCTTCTATCCTTTCCTTTTCTTCCTTCTCCTTTTTCTCTCCTTCCTTTTTCTCCTTCTTTTCATCCTTCTCCCTTTTTCTCATCCTTTTCCTTCTCCTTTTCTCATCCTTTCCCTTTTTTTCATCCTTTTCCATCCTCTCCCTTTTTCTCATCCTTTTTTCTCATCCTTCTCCCTTTTTCTATCCTTCTTTATTTTTCCCTTTTTTACCTTCTCCTTCTTCTATCCTTCTCCTTTCCTTCTTTATCCTTCTCCTTCTTTCATCCTTCTCCTTCTCCCTTTTCCACCCTTTTCCCCCCTCCTTTTCCATCCTTCTCCTTCTCCTTTTTCTCATCCTTCTCTTCTCCATCTTCTTCCCTTTTCCTTCTCCCTTTTCTCATCTTTCCTTTTCCCTTTTCCTTCTTTCACCTTCTCCTTCTTCTATCCCTTTCCCTTTTCCTTCTTCTCAACCTTTTTCTCCTTCTTTTCTCCTTCCCTTCTTCTCATCCCTTCTCCTTTTTTCTCATCCTTCTCCCTTTTTCTTCTTTTCCTTTTTCCTTTTCCCTTCCCCATCTCCAAAGGGGTTTAAATTAAAGGTACAGTGTTCTGCACTAATTTTTAAAAGGGTCCTTTAAGCCCGAACCCTTTTTATAAGTTTAAATCGTAGCGAATTAATTGCATCGAAAACGAATTTCTTCCGAAAAACGGCGAAATCGGCCCCAATCGAATTTTTTAATAA